TACACTGCTCCCCTACCAGACCCATCACTAAAAGGCCATAAATTGGCCCAATTAAACAGCAGGCTGAGCAAACAGAGAATGTTTAAATCACCTTCCAAAACAAAAACAAAACCCACCTGTGGAATAGGCTGGTACGCTTTTGTGGGAGGGGAGTAGGGGCACTTTCTTTCCCTTTTCACCCCTCAAAAAAAGTATGTTTCCAGGTCCAAACTGTGATGTGTCTCATTTGAGTACCTGAACTTCTCTCAACTGCATTCTATATCTCCATCTCTGCCTAATAAACCCTTCCAGACTCAGCCCTGTGACACAGGCGCTGATGAAACCCCTCAGGCCAAAACAACCATGTTAAACCACTGACACAGAGGCAGAATATGGATGGTTAAGCAAGAATTTAAAGGCGGAAAAAAGGCCCTCTTCATGTACTTTAGAATAAAATTGAGTGACTGCACAAACAAAATCATCTCTAGGTTTCACATACTAAATTACTTATAAACAGACATATCTTTCCACATGCTGCTTATATTTTAATGTCTGTTCATACTCAACACAAGTATCAGGCACTTTCAGTTCAAGTACTGGTAACAAGGAACCTGCTGCTTAATACAAACACATTTTTCTATCAATTTGTGGAAATGATTATACTTAGTTTCTAATACATCAAGCTAGAAATGTCTAAAAAGAAATGTACTCTGAATTTGGGACTACTCAAAAATACACAGAAAAAAATCTTTCAAGAAGAACAGACTTTATTTTTAACATAAAAGTTCTATTTTCTTGTGAGGCAGCAACAAGTGTTCAGGTACAGGGAATACATAAGTACATAGTAACAATATCTATTACCATTGGAAATGCTGTTTATTGGAGAATCTTGTTAGAAAACAGAATTTTTAAATTGCATTTTAAAAAGATTTATACAGCTTCAACAGAGATGAAAAACGCAGAATTTAAAAAATATAAATTATATTCAACAGGACTGTATAAACAAAATATTGTTCAGGACTACTCTGCTTATCACTAATTTAACCACAACGAAACGTAAACTTTAAAGTGCGGAGTTAAGTATTCTTAGCTTAATTTTGCAAACTCAGCGCTTCCTGTGGTCCAGTTCTCAGACACCAAAAATCCAAGCATTAAGGAATGAATCTGAAGTTCTAGAATAGTAAATTCAGGAGTGGAGTAGAGGGGAGGAACAGAAAGTAAAAAGTCAAGATATGTTACGTACATGTGCTAACTCCCCATGATGAATGTAATCATTTACTGCAAACATGTACTCATAAAAATAAATAAAAAGAAAAGTAAATTTAGTAGTAACAATGTTTATTTTCCTTAAAATCCTTACAACCTAGTCCTAATTTTGGACATAGAGGCAGCTATAAATTCTGCCATTCTTTAACACCTTCCAGTGACAGCTAATGCTTTTTTAAACAGTTGAAAGAAAGCAGGCCTTTTATGTTACCAGATATTATGCAGTTAGCACCTTCCAAAAGACTGATTTGGTCTGTGGTCATAAGGGACATTTTAAACAAAACAAAGAATCTAGTTTAAAGATATTTTTGGCATTCATTCTCACCATATTTAACCAAAGAGGCAAAACTAGAATTTTAAAAACATAATTGCTCACAAAAGCCATGTAATAATAGACTTAGTCACAATCAGAAACGGTAAAGTTTTATCATCACAAAAAAGAAATTATTCTAAAGGTAAAAAATAGCTAAGATTGACAAAGTAACTACAGAATAACTATGCTGAAAGATACATGCCACCTATTTTTCTTTTTTGCAATGGAAATATTTTAATTTGAAAAACAAATTATAATCTCACTGAAGCTATTCTATTTTCTGTACAGTTTTCTAGAGTAACACGATCATTCTGGAGCATAATTAGAATATATTATGCATTCTACTGAGAGTAAACTCCATTAAAAAAAAAAATCAACCATCTAGGAACTAAGGGTTAAATAAAACAACTAGATGAACCTATTTTTTAAGACTGCAATATAACTCATACGCTTAAAAATTAGCCCTTTGGCAGTTAAAGTTGTTTTCTATTTTGAATCATTTCCTGCCTCCCCCAAATCTCAGGCTCTATTTCTCCCAAACTGAAGGGGCGTGTTTGGTTGTCACACAACTCATTTACCTGAAAATTCACATTCTGAGTATAACCAAACTTTAAACTAGAAGTTCTATTTAAAATTAAGATTTTATTCTGGCACCTGCCTCACAAGCACAAGGTCCCCAGTTCAATCCCCAGTATAAAAAAAAAAAGATTTAAAATTAAGATTTTAAATAATAAATCTGAAATTTGTTCTTCCATTCTGATTTTTACATTACTTTAAGGATATATGAAACTACAGAACGGCATGAATTTGCAAATGAGTACAAAAGAAAAACTGTCACAAAGTGACATTCTAGTCGTAAAATATCCCTATGACTAGTGGGAATGGAGATAGAAGAGGAAAATTAAGTATAAGGCAAAGGAAAGACTTCAAGTAAAAACAAAACAAACCTCTGAGGGTTTAAAAAAAGCAAACAGCAAAACCTTGTTTTTAATTACCTCCTGCTCTATTCATATCAACTCACCTGACTTCAATTTTACCTTTTCTTCTGTTATTTCTTATAATGTGGCTCCTTACCAGTGAAATGGTAAAGTGAAAAGGTATAACAAAGCAGACAAAGAATCAACATACTCAAAAACCAACCACTGAGAACATTTAGATCCCAAGTAACTGAGCATTCACTGTTCATAGAAGCCCTAAATTAAATTTTGGATGGAAAAAGTAACAAAATTCATCAGTCCTACCAAATAAAACCTGACAGATTCATTCATATATATGAATTTAGTTGACTAACCTAAATACATCTTCATTTTAATGCCTATTAAGAGCATGTTTTAAATTGCTTAGATGTTTGAAAGGAGCATGAATGTAAGTCCTTGCAAATTTATTTCTACCACTTAGTGATGGCATACCTTTTAGAACTTTCAATGATAACAAACAGCTCACTGCAGCACACATGCTATAGGTTCGCCACCACGGCACTAGGTTTTTCTTGATGGAACATTTCTGGACAAGCTGACTTATTAACCTAAATAGTATCTCTTTCATAAGGAATTTAAACTTATTCTGCCTATAGAATATATAGTAAATTATTGCATCTTAAGGTAGTATAGGAAGATATTAGAAGGGTGCTTTTCAAAAATCAATACCGCTTGCTGAAATTCATTTCTAAGAAGAGCTAGCTACTCCTTAACTCTACTACAACATACCCAGAAAATAAAATACTGTTACTATGTGATATTATTGGCAGTAGTTTGTGTTAGGATGAGCTGAAATCCAAAATAATGTGGATTTTTCAAAGGTGCCTATTGTTTATGCTCCAAAGCTCTTCTTGTCTGTTTTCTCCACTGTGTGGAAATGTTGAAGAGGAAACTAACAAAATCTGTAGACAACAAATCTCAGTGCCAATCACCATAAAGAAAAAATCAGTCTAGGGGCCAGGGATTTAGCTCAGTGGTTTTGCAGCCTGCTGTGCAAGCGCAAGGACTTGAGTTCGATCCCTGGTACCAAAAAAAGAAAAAGTCAGTCTCAAGATTCTGTGGCTAGGATCGTTATTCAGTGGATTACACTCCTGGCAAACTACTAACCCTGACCAAATCCACAAGACAGTAACATCACAAAAGCAAAGGAGGAAATCCATGCACAGCCATTTGAGGGTCTCCTGGGGCTATGATACAGAGATGATAAGGTAGAGTGACACCTGTAGCGGAGGAGGGTGATCACATGATATACATTTCACAGAAAACCAAAGGGCTCCTTATTTTCCTAGCTAACAATCAACACTCGATACTCGATAGTTTCCTTTTGACTCACTGACTTTTAAATCAAGTCTCAATATGGGTGAGAACATTAAAGCACTTATCTTCAGACTATAACTTTTCTGACCACACAGTGAAATGTGTACAGGTGAAGTGAAGAAAACAGAAGTTTTACAAATATTTCACCCAAAGCACAAACTTTTAACATCAAAGAACGTAAGTCACATAATGAACGAATATTGCTTTTTCTCTTTTTTATATATATTTGTTCAATGCATTTACCTATCGATTCTTATTTGGGAGAATATAGTCATCAGATTAACACTGCTGGGAAAACGTCAACAATCCCTTTGGTCCCAAAGCTGGAAACAGCTGAGAAAAGCACACATCTAGGAAGGAAAGCAAGAAACAAGAGGCCACCAAAGAATCTTTGAACATCCTGTTTACTGCGTTTCAGAAAATGTGACACTGGTATCATAAAATAGTCCTTTTCATACAAAAGATGGTTCCTGCAGCACCATTCACACCTCCTTTAGAGAATCCTGTTTGCAGGGATCACGTTCTGTGTTTTGTGTGTTTTAAACAAGTCTAATTTGAAAACAAAAAACAATGTGACACTGTCCTTCCCAAAGTAAAGAATGAGACCTTTCTGCTTTAGGAAAAAAGTAGGCTAAGCACGGAGGCTGGCCTTTGTGAGAGTAGCCTCAGTGAGAGGGGCTGCTGCTTCCAAAGCCTCTCTGACACATCTCTGGAGAGCAGTGGTGTGCCATAGCCAGCCGGGAGTGCACGGTGCTGTCATAGTCGAATCACCCGAGGAGTCCTCAGTTTCCCAGAACCACAACACCACAGCACATGGGCCTATCCTTCTGCTTCTTCAATCGGCTCTGGCGGTGGCAGCAGGGAGGCTGATGGCAGGACTGTGCTGGTTCCTCTGGAGACTCGGTCCTGCTCTGTGTTTGTAGACAGGGAGGCCATAGCAATGGGCTGAATCAGGGTGGTTGTCATACCAGTGGTGACTGTCAGGCTGTGGCCAGAACCCTTGAGGGTGAGATCTGGTGTGGGAAGGAGTGGCTTGAGGATGCTGACGAGGCAGAAAGCAGAGCCGCTTTTAGGAATGAAATTCACTTTGTTTTTGTCAGGACAGTAAAAGGTTGGGATTTCGTGAAGTTGTTTTGGCCTAGACATAGAACAGACAACCCAATACTTTAAATCACTAAATACTGGAAATAAGCTCTTTAATTCATTGAAAACAGGCAGCTTATCAATATATAAAAGGAGTACCAAACTGAAGCTGTATCAAAAGCTTCAAATGCCAAGGACCAAACTGTTATTAGGTCGTATATGTTACAGTATGTGTCTTGGCTGTCAGCAGAACCATTTACAGCCTCACTTCTAAGTCCCTCATGAGCCCAGTCACCATGCAGGTGCTCAGGCTCATGACTGCCACACATCAATGAAGAGCTATACAGCCAAGAAGAAGAAAGCCTTGGGCCGGGCTCAGTGGTTCTGGTTCCTGCCTCGCAAGAGCAAGGACCCTAGGTTCAATTCCCAATACCAAAAAAAAAAAAAAAAAAAAAAGAGGATGAAAGCCTAAAGCAAAAGAAAATCTACATATTTAAAGACAAAAATATGTTCCACTACCATGAGTTTTCCCTGGTCTACTATTCTGAAGGGAGAAAGGAAGAAAATTAATGATATACATTGCTCATCTTTTGCTAAGTTTCTCCATGATGAGGTAAAACTTTGGTAGGTATGGGCTTCCTCTTAAAAATCTCTGAAACAATTCTTTGGAGTCAATTGTGGCAGTTTTCTGAGAAACATAATGTAAATAAAAATAAAAACAGTAGTCCTTTGCTTTAAAGTTTTTATTCATATAATAGCCTTTCCTGTTTCCAGATCCTTCTGAAAATTATGCCAAATCATTGAAAAGCACACTTCTGGTATTAATGGTATTCCATGAAAATTTAAAATATTTTTAAAACTTAAATTGTTCACCTGCCTCTCAAGCGCAAGGTCCTGAGTTCAATCCCCAGTACCAAAAAAAAAATTTTTTAATTGGTAAGTAACATAGTAGTACTATAAAACTGAAATGAAATTAAGGCAGATGAACCTGAATAAATCAAGATTTAGGTTAAAAAGGCCATATTACCAGATGATAAAAGTATTCTTCTCCTCTCTCCCAACTAGATTCTAAGAAACAAAGCTAAAACAATTGACAAGGAAAAGACAGGACTAAGTTTATAGTGCTGGAAGGGAAGAGATGCTGGCGTGAAACTGTACTCCAATATAATTGTAATCTTACATGTTTCGTGCGCATTCATGTTATTATTTTGAGAAGGGATCCATAAGCTTTGTCAGATTCCCAAAGCCATCCAGAGCACAGGAGAGGATATCTGCATGAGAGTTTGATGAATGTGATAGCAAAGGTTTGTGGAAAGTTTAGAGGCAGCAAGCAGAAATAGCCTATGGCAGGGAGGAAAAGGAAGAGTTTGGAAGGAAAAAGACTTTTGAAACAAAGTGACCTCTGAGCTGGGTTTCAAAGAACAAGTAAACAACAGACCTGGGAACTGGGTACCAAGATGTGTGCTGCAAGCAGACAGTGCGTTGGGTGGGCAGAAACTGTTAATAGTCAGCACTACCAACAGACGGCTTTGTCACTGCCCTTTAAGAAGAAAAGGGCATCACTTAAATTGTTTAACTTGTACACTATTCTTTCTTGAATAAAATAGAAACTTAATAGGGGAACTACTTTTAGTGTCACAAGTATATCTGGGTGTGTCACAAGTATATCTGGGTGTATCACAGATAAGAGCACTCACCCCTAGAGTATTGCTTTCAACTCCCTAAAGAAGACAAGAAGTTATGGCCATATTTCTGTGATTAAATAGTGCTCAGATTCTCCTCTGAAGGCAGGATTCCTGGAGATAACTCATTCTTATACTGGGGGAAATGCTAATCAATTCCTACACCCCATTCAAATAAGGACTAGTTTTTAATTCATGTGTTTGAAGTTATCTCACTACCAGTGACTTAAGACGGGACTAAGAAGTAGCTTAGTGGAAAAGAACTTGGCTTGCATGTGAAAGGCCCTGGGCTGGATCCCAGAACCAAAATCAATTATTAATTTAAAAAATTACTTAAGACACATGGCTACTAACAGATATTAAGGATGAAACCACATTTCTGAAACAAAGAAAATTCTTGACCTATGATAACTTCTGAATCTACAAAACATTTTTAAGACAGAAATACAAAAACATTTAATTTCCTTACTGCTCCCATGAAAAGACATGACATAACAAACCCAAAAATAATGTAAACAATGACAAATGATCACATCAAGAAATAACACTATTAACAGTAAAAAGCACCAAAGCCCCTCTTTGTGCCCTCTTCCAGTCACAACTCAGCCCACCAATGTGAATCACTCTTTTAACCTCTCACACTTCAGCATCTAAGCTAAGAAAAAAACAGTGCCCACCCTTGGGATGTGTGACCTAGGCATATGCCAACAGAAGCTGCCAGTGCGGATTTTACTTCAAAGCATTCTTCAACTTAAGCAGGCAAGTGAAAAGAAAGATCTCAACTTCACCAGGTCATCTGGCCAGAGAGCCAGATGTACACTTCATCTTCCCAGCTCTGCTAGGTGGTGGTGATGGCTGCAGACAGGGCTGACACTAAGACCTGGCTGAGCTTCCGAAGCCCTTGCAATGGCCCAGGAATCAGGCTCCCCTATTCCTTGCCACAGGAGCTCTGTAGAAGTACCAATGGGTCTAGTGGGCAGCCCGGAGACATTTCAGCCCCAGGACGAGGTGACACAGCTGTGACAAGAACTTCTCTGAGCTCTTCGAGGCTCTGCCTGCTGCCACAGAGCTGGAGGAAGAGAAGCTGGAACAAAACCCTGCGGAGTCCCTGGGACAGCAATGCTCTGCAGGAGGAACTTGAGCAATGCACCAGGCTGCTGAGGCAGAAGAGGATCACGCTGTGATATGTCCAGACTACTGTGGGCCACCCCAGGGTTCTCTGGGAAGAGGCTTGGCCACACGACCACCAGCTATTTTTAGGCCTGGCAGCTCAGGTGCAGCAACATATGTAAGCTGTGGTCTTTGCTACACAAGTGGAAGAAGGAAGCTGACAATGACACTTCAGGAAACGTACACAACAGAGGACTCACACAGGCCCAAAAGAGAACTCTAACAAGTTCTCAGAAGCATGACACAGGCAGCCTGGAGAACAGGTTCCTGGGGTGTCCAAAGCCCCACAGCGGATTGGCCACACACTAAGAGGGGTGAGGGGAGCCTTTCTTGTCTCCATTACACTCCAGACTCACATACCCACATGGAGCTGCTTCCCTTCCCGGGATGGAGATGGGTGGAGAGGTGAGAAGCCCATGAAGGAGAATGTCAAGTTTGCACTAAAGCCTTGGGGACGAAGTTCTTCACTCACTAAGAGAAGCTGCAAACAGGAAGGCTGGGGTGGTTGGGGAACAAACTTTAGGCAAGGTGAAGCTAATGATGCTCCGATTGTAATCCCCTCACTCATCACTATTCTTGGAGACCTGAGACAGTGGATTAAAAACTCAAAACTGGGGCCGGGGATTTAGCTCAGTGGTTTTGCTGCCTGATGCGCAAGCGCAAAGACCTGAGTTCGATCTCCAGTACCAAAAACAAAACAAAACAAAAATCCCTCAAAACTGGTTTTAAAATATTATTTTTCTTTAAACAGTTCTTTTGAAAGGATTGTCTTTCCAAGTAGACAGAATTAAAAACAACAACAAAAATCCCTATACTCCAAGAAGGCCACAATATCTAGCAACATAAAACACACAGTCATGGATTGCATTTGCTGGGATCAGGAAAGCACATATTTAACTTCATTGTAAAGGGCTAAGTGCAGATGACATGGCTCTGGTATACGCCATTATTAAAAAAACACACACACTGAAACAGAACTACAAAATCTGCTCTTGCTCTTTTGGCCCCAAATTGAATTACCTACTTTCTTTCAGGAAAAGTTAATATTTCTAGAAATCAGAGCGTCACCCTGTACCCAACCCCAAATCCCAGTCAGGTCAAGTTATTACTTTAAATCAAAAGTAAGAATTAAAGAAAAGATATTCTCAAAACAATGACTGATGCATTCACGACGGGGCCATAATTCACAGGTCTTACTGCTGGGTGGCTCTGAACCACCCATGGTACATGTGTGACTGTCCCATCATGCAGCATGGGATAGTCTCATTGGGTGGCACAAGCTGCCAGATGGGACAGTAATGCATGTATCACCAGTGGTTAAAGCCAGTGGGAACGTCTTAAATAGGGAAATTCTTAAATTAGGAACAATCTAACTTTGCTTTAATGCTAGTGTACCCATTGCTTTCTGATCTAATTTCGACATAGCTGGGGCAAAAGAGAGAATAATTTTCTTAGACTTTGAAGAACATGTTCTATTGACAAAAGGTTAAAATTACTGCTAAGAAAGCCATTGTTGGATCACTACTGATTATTAGTCTTTGGAACATAATTAAAATATAAATAGGTTTTTGTGTGCTACACATACTTTATACTAGTAAAATTATAATAAACACTTCTTACAACAGGTCAATGTGCCATAAAACATAATGTGTTAGGGTTCTGCTGTTTGTGCTTTTTGATCTACCTATCCTTACACACACACACACACACACACACACACACACACACACTTGTCCTTTATCCTCTCTTTTAGAAACAAAGTACAATATTGATTCACCAGACAGTAAGTCTTGAGTAGTTTTCCAAATGTAACAGTGTTAGGCAGATAACACAGGGCGGGCATCTACCTATTAACAAATATTCAAGGTCATTTCTTAAAAAAAAAAAAATCAAATTGCTTTTGAGCCAATCAGCCATTTCTTTGCACTTAGGCAAATCCCAACTGCCAATGAATACTAAAGAGCTGAATTCAAAACAATAGATTTAGGCCAAATGATTTAGCTAATACAATGGCCCCACTTCTTAAGAACTTTTGTGAAAATGTCTAAGCCAGAATTTTCAAATTCAACATAAAAATTATCCAAGACACTTGGTAAAAATGAAGAACGCAGGTCCTGCTTCCATATTTACTGATCACCAGACCTGAGTCGGCCTGAGAATCTGGTTTCAACAATTTTCCTAGTGATTATGATTCAGGGAATCATGGACAAATCTGCAGAAATACTGGCTTAAATTTTCAGCTGGCCTCAGTTAAAACTTACAGGCTGACATGATGAAAAAAACTGAAATGAGCAGTTGCTTCAAAGTGTTTTCAATTACTGTCACAGAAGCAGATAGGAGAACGACAGCTGGTGTTTCCTTGCAGAGAAGCTGAAGGAATTTGAAGACAATGCTCTCTGTATGGCAAGATCACTCAGAATTTAGATTAAAAGAAGCACCAAAAAAGGGTATATAAGAGAAACAAAAGGATTTGAAATATTCAAATTCCTCTATCATGAACACTCTGGAGTGAAGAGACAAACTTTATGAATTGAAAAAGGTCAGATTACCTCCACATTATTGTATTTTAGGTTTCACAGTAAGAAAACCTAAAAAAGGATGGCTCTGTGATTTGTAACCACAGTGGCATTGGAGGACGAGGGCTAAGCACTACACCACAGTGCTTAACTGTGTTCCGCATTAATTTGCTCAATCTCATACACGCCTCTAACCTTTGGGCACAACTTGCACACCGGTAACCACAGCTACTGAAAATACAAGTCTATATACCTTTTGGGTGAAATTGAGTTTAAAATGAGAATTGCAGACAGAAGTACATGGGTATAGGAGATCAGATAACAAGGACATTAGATGCTATTTAAAATTCTACTTCTTAGGGCTCAAAGTAGCTCAGTGGTACAGTGCTTACCTACCACACACAAGGCTCTAAGTGTCCTCCGAGAACACCCCCATCTGCTTCTTACATTTCATCACAGTTCTATGAGTGATTTGCAAAGTAACATATTTATTCCCTGTATTAGCAAACAAAAGAATTTCAAAATTTTTAACAAACTGGAGACCAAAAGTAGACAAAAACTGAAGCAGATTTGATCCTTAAAAGAAAGGAACCACACTAGGTAAAATCTGTGGTCTATCTTGAATAGATACATTGCTAAATTCTATATGTGAACCTTATGGGATACAGGTACAAAAATGAGACCCACAGAAGATAATTTGACAGCTGAGGGAATCTGAGTCAAGTCTGGACATTGTTACCATTAATTTTCTTCACTGTGATAATAGTACAGTGCCTCTGTTGGAGCACTGTAGCTACATTCAGCAAATACTGCAAAAGGCAAATGATTATATAATCTGGGTGGTAGATCCATATGAGTCACTACACTCTTCCGTCAATTTACTTGAAAACTCTCATAAAACAACTGGGGGAAATACTTACGAGCACTCCTCAAAGACTTTGACCCTCTCACAGCCCTCTGGAGGCTCCCGTTTGAACATGTAACTGTTGTTAGGTTTGGGGGATGTTGCATACTTGGGCAAAGGAGAGTTGTTCCCATTCTCTGCAAGAAACAACATGCCAAATTACTAAAATGTACTACAAAAATACAGTCAAGCCATCTGTAACTATCCTTGGCTTTCCCCTACACATAAACTACTTGAGGCAGGCACAGTGCTGAATTCATTAACATTATCATAGTATCTAACATAATTCTTGGGGAGAAGGAGATACTGCTTGTTAAATAAATGCATAAATAATTATAAGATTCTAATTTCTTTTGAACTTAAGATGATCACAGCCTAGGTCTGTATCATTTAGTCCTCAGTACTGAACATGATTTAGCTTGCTTCTTTATTTCTATTCTATACACAGCAAATACACTCAAATACCACTTGCATTTTTTCCAACGTAAGTACCCCAAATGGTTCTTTAATGGCTGCTTGTTATTAACATTTAGCCTGTCTGGCAGAATTTCCCAAGTTAATATTTCTGCTTCTCTGGTTACAGTCTACACAGAAGGAAGTCAGTCACTGTACACTAAACACTTACTTTTGCCTGTGAGTGTTCATTCTCCTAAAGGGGTAAATTCTGTTCATTTTTCCACAACGTCCTTTGAAGTCTGCCTCAATGTTTTTGAAATCTTTCCAAATTAACTCTCTCAAAGGGAATACTTCCTTTTTTGGTACTGGGGATCGAACTCGGGACCTTGTGCTTGCAAGGCAGGCAGCGGAACCACTGAGCTAAATCCCTGGCCCAATACTTCCTTACTCTAATACCCAGTTCAGGGCTGATGTCCTCAGTTTACATTAGATTTAAGATTCTTGATGTGTTACATAACTTCCTAAATTTTCAATCTGTGTCAACTGTAAATTCCTTGCTGGCAACAGCAGTTATGTATCCCCCTGATTTCTCATAAAAGATAGTCACAGAAGCCAACTGGCCACTAATGTAAAATAAATGCATCAGGACACCGACAATTCCTACATATAGTACCAGAAAGCATGGGAAATTAAGGTGCAGGTTTTAATAGCTACGTTCTATTTGATCCAGAAGCTAAAACAAAAAGAACCCCAGGATACAGCTGTTTCGCAGTCTGAGGTGACGTTTTCCAGTGAAGCTTGTCTTCTGTACTTTGTATATAGTTTCAATGGTTTAGGTTTATTAATAGTGGACCATTTTAGTACATTCAACACACTGTATGTAGGAAGCTCTAAATAAATTATTGAACTGAGCCACAGAATTTACGAATAAATGTCTCATGATTGCTTCTAAGTATATATAATAACTAAAACTACACTAGGAAAATATTGCCTTGATAGAGATAGGTAGAGTATTTGTACTTAATATTCAAACTGCTTCTGTCCCCAGGTTATGTTTACAGTACCTAAGTATCCTCAGCCTTTACTTTAGGCTTGCTCTGAACACCATCTTGCTTTCATATGCCACTTTAATCCTCGTTAGAAAAATCACAACTACAAATCCTTAAAAAACACTAACTTCTGGGCCGGGGATTTAGCTCAGTGGTTCCGGCGCCTGCCTCGCAAGCGCAAGGTCCTGAGTTCGATCCCCAGTACCAAAAACAAACAAAAACCCCCCACTAACTTCAAAGTTTCTCATTAATTAAAAAGTATTAAGGTAATAAAGTTATTGCTAGTAAAGTGACAGAAAAAAGTATTTTTCAGGAATCACTAATAAGGAAGTTGTATTCACAAATATAAAAAATTTACATAGTACAAACAAGTTAAGTGTGATGACACATGCCTATAATTCCAGTACTCTGGGAGACCAAGGCAGGGGATGGCAAGTTCAAGTCCTACCTGACCAACTTGGCAAGACCTATCTGGCGATGCAGCTCTGCTCAAGACCTAAGGTTCAATCCCCAGTACCTCCTCCCATCCTCCCAAAAAAGAAAGAAAATCCACAAAAACATACAAAGACCCTAAATGCACACAACCAGACCACTGCCTGAGGACCACAGCAAAACCTACAGTTCTATAACCCAAATTTTTCAAATCTCTGCTAGACCCCACTACCCTGGCAGGCTCCAGTGTGAGCTCTGCTAGAAAATGAGCAGAATGAGTATTAAATAGGTGATATTCAGCTATCATCCTGTGACGGATTCTTCCAGCACTACACACCTTTATCCCTGGGATCAACCAGCAGGTCATCAGCTGAACAGGGGCTTTCCTCGCTGCCCTCATTGGAGATGGTGAGGAAGGATGTGGGGGACACAGACTGGGAACGGCTACTGTTGTTGCTCCCTCTGTCTGCGCCCCCAGGCGTCTGTGTGTCAATGCTTCGGGTGCTGCTACTTCTCTGGGCAAGCGGGGGAGGCGCACGGTGGCCATCCGGAATATCCTGGGGCTGTCAGGACATTTAACAAACATTGGTTTATCAGTGATTTGGAGATTCACTAGCCATTGATGTACTCAAAGTCAACCTTCCCCTGTTGTGCCAGAAACTCACAAATTCTCTCCTATTAGGCCTTTGTGTTGCTTATTAGTGACACTGCTGTCTAATCTGACACTCCACTGAGGATCCTGGGTGAAGAATTTGCCTTTCTAGTACCTGGTACACAGCAGGTGGCCAAAGCTCATTGAACAAATGAACTGTATTGAATTATTTATCACGTACAAAATGCTATTATTTTTTGTGGTTTTGAGAATTGAGCCCAGGGCCTCATATATGTTGGGCAAGCAGTCTAGTGCTGAGCTACATCCCCAGCCCTAAATGTCACTTTTAAAATCATAAACTGTGATAAAAGAGGAGGAACCTAGATGTAGAAGAGGAGCTAGGTTCTGCTACAAAAAGGTTATCCATCGTGTCAACTAGTAACACCTGGCAACAGGCCTTTGTTCCCTCTCTCTTCCTCCCAATTCTCCGAGTTGTGTTTTTCTAAGCCATTCCTACCTGAGGGAAAGGTTAATCACAGCAGTGCTAACTGTAGGGTGAAATCAAGCAGACACCCAGAGGAAAGCCTGTGTGGCTCACTTAGCAGGGAACCAGTTCCCTGAACACTTTTGCCTCATTCACCTTCATCACAGTCTGAAAGCTTTCACAAGATGCAAGAGAGGGGAAAGTCTGGGGAGCTGTTTTCTTTAAGATAAACCAATCTTTTTCCTGAGGGAGAGTTCAAGATACTACTTCAAATTCCCTAATTCCTCCCTCACTGAAGAGCAGGTAATTAGCTAAGTATGCTCTGTGACATGGTATTCAAATCTAAACAGTAATTTTTCTTCCTGTTTTATACATGAACTTTTAAAAAAATATATTCTAGCAGAAAAGATAAGAGCATTCTACCTGCACTTCGTGAACATAGCGTCACCCAAAACCAAGTAGTAATTGACAATCAACAGCAAGGAAAAGGTAGACTCAAGCTTAGAAACAATTCTGTCTTGTAGCCCCCATAAATTATAAGGTAAACTTTGGTTAAACGGAATTCTAGCAATGAAGAGTGTATCATTTTTCCATTGACTGCAACAGGTAAAAAACAGTTTCTAGGGCCAGGGATTTGAGCTCAGTGGTTCCACTGACTGCCTTGCAAACGGAAGGACCAGAGTTCGATCCCTGGTACTGAAGAGAAAAATAACCCAACAGTTTCTGGGGCCGGGGATGTAGCTTGGCAGAACAGCACCTGCCTGGCAAGCACAAGGTCCTAAGTTCGATCCCAGATTTAAATTGGATCAGCTGCATCTACGAGGTGAAAGACATGAAAAATTTTCAATCACTTGCCAAAGTCAAGATTTTTCAAATGAGATAAATTTCCACTTTCTCTCAAGAAAGAAGAGCTCTCAGTAAATGTGGAAATTAAAACTGATAATTTTTTAATAATTAGACAACTTCATGCATGAGGCTGACTTTATGAACTAAGATTACTTACAATAAGCTGCTCTTCCTTTTCCCCAGTTTCTTTAATGATTATTTCAATCTCTTGATTCAATCCTTCCACACTATTCCGGAACCGGGAACCTGTTGATTTGGTGATGGGAATTACTGGAATAAGCGCACTCTTTGGAACAGGAGCCTTCATAAAAACGAGGGGAAGGAGCAGAAGAGAAATTTAACATTATTTTCTAATTCTCTAGACTGAAGTATACTTCCACTGACATAAGTAACTCAAAAACAAACAAAACTGCAGGCCTCACAAAAAGTGCTCCTTAGTCATATGAAATACAATTTAAAACCCCAAATTCCAGACAAGGTAGAATTTTTAAAATTTATTTACATTTATGAAAGGCTGGAAAGGGAATTAGAATCAAGGAAAATATTAAAATGTCAATCTCAGAAAACATTTTATGATTGTTAACACTTCAGATTTCAAAACAATTCTAAACTCTCCTAATACTAAAATGATTTCAGAAAAGAAACAACTTATCAAATAAAAAAATATTTTGATTGGAAAAACAAAACCACTTCCAAAGTCCATGTACATCAGCAAGATTACAAAATTGGAATTAACTTCCCTATGAAATTTATACATTTATTGTAATGTTTACTGTTTTGTTCAAGAAAAGAAGTGATGCAATGCATATTTTTCTAAAGGCTACCTTTAACTTTGAAAATTAAAAATGTTTTTGTTGTTACAATTATTACTTTATAAAATAAACAGCTGATCTCATAATTATAGGATATTACTCAGTTTACTGACAAGATCCTCAAAGTAAAATATGAAACAAGCATCACAGAGGTATCTACCAAGGTTAATAGCAAATATTCTGCCCCAGGCAGTCAGCTTGCACGCTGTCTGTCCTGCTGTCTGGTAAACTCCGCCTTCATTTAAGGAGGTTTCTTTGAAAAACCTTTCAAGGAAGGTGCACAAGGGGGCGAAGGTTAATAGGACCCCTAGTCATTTACCACTAGTTTCACTCAGTGGATAACCCTGCTGTCTGAAACAGAACTGGGTGTTAAATCTGTATTTCTCCTCTTTACTCCTGGCAAACACAGGAAACTTGGGGGAATAAAGCCAAGGAGCAGCCCCACACCAGACCCCCAGGGGGCACCTGCTGGCTGTGCAGTCAGTGCAGACCCTCATCTGGAAGAGGGTATAGGTCACACCTCCTGGTTCTGAGCAAGAAATGAGAGGAATCCTGGCATAATGACCTCCAGAAACCCAGAGATGCTCGATGTATAGCAGCCACAATTATCTTATATTCTCTACATTTTATTCTTTTTTTTTTGTACCGGGGATATAACTCGGGACCTTACACTTGCGAGGCAGGTACCAGAACACCACTGAGCTAAATCCCTGGCCCCTCCATTTTATTCTTAAAACATTTTTTCTTTTCATTTTTAAAGGCTCATTTATTTTCTTCTACATATAGTGTTTCACCTTTCCCTTTTTCCTCATAGTACTCTCAAAGCTCCTATCATTTACTCTCTTTTTACTTCTATCTGCTTTTTTTGTTCCCTCTTCCAGTGTCAGTACTATCAAAGGAAAGAACATGAAAATATTAAATTTAGATGTTCTATGGGTGGTTTTACACAGAAAATTTAATTAAACACATTCAACTTCCATACTTTCAGCCATTCGCTATAGAGTATAGCTCTTTAATTTTTTTTCCTGAGTCTTGGTTTCTATTTTTTTCTTTTGGTACCGGGGATCCAACTCGGAAACTTGCACTTGCGAGGCAGGCGGCAGAACCACTGAGCTAAATCCCTGGCCTGGTTTCTATTTTTTTAAATAAATTTTATTTTATTTTATCCCATTCCCTCCTTCAAGCCCCCAAGTATAGCTCTTTAGAGAGCTGATGTTCTTTTTTTTAAATTTATTTTTTATTAGTACATGTTTGCAGTACATAATGAAAACATTCATCAATGGGGGATTTGTAGAATTGAGATGTGATGTTCTCCTTTTAAAAGTTTTTAAGGCAAATCTCAGCCACACTCTTAGGCTCACCCTGGCAGCCTGTTTTATTGTCTCCGAACACCTGTCCTCAGTAGACTGGCGGCAACTCTACATGCAGCCAGCATCAAAGATCAAGTACAGTGGAGAATAACTAACTTACTAACACCTGTATTTACAAAAACTTAAATGTCAGGTGTAACCTGGAGTTAAATTCAAATCTCAAGTAATGTAGAGTGGTGTGTAAAGTCAGTTACAGGATTTTTAGAAGATGAATTATGGATAAATTTTTAAATTTATAAACTGGAAATTATGGTGCTAAAACTTGCTCTATATGTCTTCAAAGATTTAGTTCTCCTATTTCTTTTGATTCTCTCTTTCCTCAAGTAAAAATAAAATACTATGTGCTGGGGGGAAAATGTACATGTCTAATTCCCCAGTATTTTCTGTTCTATCTCTTGGAATAAAGCCCCACAAATGCACAAAATGAAAGAACACTGTTCCTTCACCTCCTTAGTTTATTCTGTCAGTAACTAATATGCACATATACCACTCACCATGTATACACAGTTTATACTTCACACACCAAAATGAAAGACTGCTCCTCCAAAATACTGGACACAAACTATACACAGGCAGAGGAATTACAGGTGACATTTTTCTTTTGGGTTATTTTTCAACAATCATGATTTATTCATCTTCTATTACCTCTGCCAAAAACCGAGCCAAGAACACAGAAGACACTGTTTAACAAGGCTGGTATTACTGACAAGATGCCTGTTTTCCCCTCAAATTCTTATGTTGAAGCCCTGTTCCAGGTGCCCCTAAGGCAGCAATTAAGGTTAAGAAGAAGGCATACAAGTGGGCTCTAATCCAAAAAGGGGGGAGGGGGGAGACCGGACAGGACAGAGGCGCGCACACAACTGAGCTGGCGATCTTTCACAACTCTGTTCATACAAAGAATAATTCCTGTGAGCACACATCTGGAAGGTACAGTATCTGTCTACAACCCGAGTGGAGAGCCCTCACAAGACACTGACTCTGCTTGGTCTTGGACTTCTAGTCTGCAGGACTATAAGAAAATAAATCTGTTTTTTAAGCCTCCTGGTTTATGCCATTTTGTCACAGCAACCTGTGGAGACAAATGCACACACTATTTACACACTATTTAAGTTTTACGTTTCATTTCTGCACTTTCAATAAGCTTAAGAATCTACTTAAATACAACCCAGAGATACAGTGACTCAGAGACTTGAATAAATAAGTTCATAAAATTTTATCCAGAGAAAAACTAGCTGCAATGAGCTACTTCCCCAGTCCTTTTTTGTTTTGAGACAGCATCTTACTAGGTTGCCCAAGCTGGGCTAGAACTTGTGATCTTCATCCCTCAGCCTCCTCAAGTTCTGGGATTACCTTTTCTTTATGGCACAAGTAAAATCTATTCACTGAGGAATGAAAAATAGAATTAAATCACAGGAGGGAGCAACTATTAATAATCTGATAAATATTCTTCAATCTAGTTATTTTCCTTTCGGGCATGTATACTGCTAACCAAAAAGAGACTATATCTATTATTCTGTAACTGGTAGTTTTTAATTTCATATCAGATCTCTAGCATCTTTCTATACTTTAAATTTTCATTCATCAAATCACTGTGATACTTGCACAGTGTTTCACTGCATGAGCACATAAGAAATGCTTGTTACTGGACAATTTCTAACTTTTTACTATTCTAGAGAAATGTCACAATTAATATCCTTTTAGATAAGTATTTGAAGATTCTTTTAGAATAAATTATGAGTACAGAGAACTATTACTGCAAAGAATAGGAAATATTCTTGGGACTTTAATCCAAAATGGCAAAATATTTGTATTCCTTACATTTCTTTCTACACTGTACGAAAACGTGTATTTTACCAAACTCTAAACACTGAGTTTATATTTTCTTAAACTCAGGCTAAGTTTCATAAATTAAAAAAGCTCATTCTTTATATGCTGTTGCATGTAAGTGAAGGTGAATTTTTTAAACAATTACCAACCATCTGTACATTTTAAGGTGGGGGCAGTGGTGATGGTTTATTTTTTTCTTAACTGACTTGAAAGAGCTCTTCTTAGTGTTTACATATAACACTCTTTATTCACACTGAAAAAGTATTTTAATTTTGTTATTCAAACTGTGAGCATTTTTACAGTATGCTTAAAGGTCACTTCTATATCTTTTTTTTCTTTTTGAAGTGTGTTCACCTTTTCACTGGGTTTGCACACAGGTGGTATGTTGTATCTGGTTTGTTTGTTTTGGTACCAGGATCGAACTCAGGACCTTGTGCTTGCGAGGCAGGTGATGGAACCACTGAGTTAAATCCCTAGCCCACACTCTTTCTACTTTCATGCTCCAAGTCGGTAACTCCCTGCATTCCCACAAGTGCATCAGCTATGGTTCACCCAATGCCAGACTCAGAGATAAAATGAGACAAGAAGAGGAAGGCAAGTGGCAAGTTCAAGGACTCTCCATCATTCTTCTCCTAATTACCTGTATTCTTTACTCTCCTCCCCCATCCTCACTCCCAAGTCCACACTTTCCCCTCCCTTCTTTTCCCCTTTTTTGTGATACTGGGGATCGAACCCAGGAGTGCTCTACCACTGAGCTACATCCCAAGCCCTTTTTATTTTGAGATAAGATCTCACTGAGATGCTCAGGCAGAACTCAAACTTGCAATCCTCCTGTCTCAGCTTCCCTCAGTGCTGGGATTACAGCCATGTGCCACCTCACCCAGCTGCCACATTCTCATTTTGCACTTCAGTGAAGTACTAACAGTCACTGAGACTGGCTACTCCTCATCAGTACTTCATGTCCCTAATGAGTATCACCTATACCTGGAAGGATGATTTTTTTCACTTATTCTAATCATCTTGTTTCCTTTCCAACATATAATCTAACAAGGCCTTTTTAAAAACTCTCCAAGTAGGTACCTCCTCGCTTCAAGGATGGACAAAGCAGTGAGAGTGAAGCCAGCACAGTATTTTGCTTTCTGATGGTCAAGGAAGGAAGAAACCTTTCTTAAGGTAGTAGCAACAGAAAATGGAAAAGGAAACAATGAGCTGACAGGGAAAAGAAATCTACAGCTCACGAGTTTGGATGGAGAACTTAAGAGCCTTTCTGTGAGGAAGTCATCTCACCTGGT